TCCTTGAAACTTCAGGAGTAATTTTTGAGATTACTGTGTTATGCTGGTTTAAAATTCGAGAATGCCTCTTGTCCTATAAATTTAAATCCTATGATAAAAGTAATTCAGCCACTTAGGGACAGGAGTCTCTTTGGAAAGCAACGAGATATTTGCAGTTAAAATTTTCAAAGGCACTGAAGTTATTTATTTTTTATAGGCAAATTCTATTTATTATGAATAAATGCTAGTCTTAAATGTACAAACCTCCTTATTGTGACATTCAGGAGCTGGAGGATGAATGCGTGTCTGATCTTGGGCCTGTGCACAGCAAAGTCTTTTCCTCTCTGCATGCCTCTATCTGAGGAACTCATTGGCCTCCACAGCAGAGGAAAGTATTCTTATTTCTGGCCCTTTTGCTGCACACGGTAACTCTGATTTTCCATGTCATTTCCACTGCTTTAATTTTTGAGGGCTTCCCTTTCTCTTTTTTTTTTTTTTTTTTTTTTTTTTTTCCTCTTGACCAAAGGAGGAAAAATAGGGGAACACATTTAAAGAATGCAACAAATAGTCAGTAAGAGAAGGGACTACATCTATTTATCATGTTTGGACAAGCACACTATAGAGATCAGTGTCGTTATTTATCTGGCAAGCCTGTGAACAGCTCTGTTTGTACACTAGCCACTGAGAACCCACAGTTTCATGCTAGAAGTAGGATGGCTGCTGCTGGGAAGTAATTGTCAATATCTTTAATTTGTTTTCAAAACATAGTATGGTGAAGTCAGAAGAGTGAAAAATTATGTATTTGGTACCTTCTTGTAAGACAGGAAGTAGGAGATACAGACAATTGGAATATAATTTTTAACTTCAATAGCTAGTAAATTGTTGGAAGAACTAAATATGATGATAGTAATCAATGTGGATTCACTGGGAATCCAAACTCTCCGAAGGTAATTTAATTTCTTTCTTGCGTAATGGTCTTTATTGGTTGAAGAAAATACTATGGACATGAGGAAGCAAATCTTCAGCACTTGCTTCCTAAATTCTGCCTGAAAATTGTATGCATGTATGAATTGCAAGAGTAAATCTGCATTTCTTGCATAGACATGCATCTATTTCATATGTGTAAATGATACTGTTTTACATGACATTTTCACAGGTTATCAGGAGTAATGTGGATTAGAAAGAAAAAAAACCAAAAACGGATGCAGAGTAGATTCACCAAAGAAGTTACGGGAATGACAGACTCCTGTTTTAGCAAGTGACCTGAGTCCTCTGACTTTATCTTTTCACCTCCAGCATCATGGCTGCATTCAGCACTGGAAAAGGATTCATTATGAAACTGCTTGAATGCAACCTTTCTTTATTCATAAGGAATTTTACAGATGCTGATATTGTGGATTCATCTTATATTAGAATAGAATTCTGTCACTTTGTGACTTTTTTAGTTGCCTATTTGTGCTTTAATTTGATATCCTTCTATTCTCAATTGGAATTTAGATGACAGTAGAATGCACACAACTGTGGGTATTGATAGGAACTGAGATGTAAAAAAGTTCTTGCTTACAAATGACATGCAGTAATAATTATTTTTTTTCTCTACTTGAGATAAAGTGCTGTATGCTTTGTATTTGCAATATTCTTTATGTCCAGTATTTTATGGTCTGTACTCTTACACACTCTGGCTATGCCTTTAGCCTGTGTCAACAAGTCCTGGACATGGTGCGGTGTTAAAACATGGGCTAGGGACCATTTCTGAAAACAGATTGAATATGATCACACTGTATGGTCCCCATATATTGCTTGATATGGCTGAGAAATTTTAATAATGTGGATATAAATCATTCCTTTCTAATAGTCTTAAGTGTTAAAGAATGGTCATGGAGAATCTTCATTCCTGGATAGAAACTGAGCCAATATGTCTTTTTAAATAAGAGAAGTTTTGAAAGGATTGTGAGAAATTCATATGATACGCTGAAGTATGTTATCTTGGTAAACTGGGAAGGATTGTCTGAAATCTGAGTGTATGCTGCTCATGAAAAACAGTTAAAGTACTGTGCTTTAGAAATGGAAAATAAAACTTTCACAAAAAGAAAGGGGACATACCTGCCAGATCCTAAAGCCACCTGACCCCTGCTAGGAGAGAGGGATGGTGGAAAAACCATCATGGCAAAGATAAATTGGATAGGAATACACAGTGTGATGTGATGTAATACTGTAATGCATGTTACCTCGTGTAAGAACAAGAAAATTTAATTATTTCAGGGCAAATCCAGCATGATTAATTTAGGCACCGCTGAAGGCCACCAAATGGTGACTTATACATGTCTGCTTCTCCCTTGAATCTATAGGGAACTTAGGCACTTAAGAGCAATTTATGAGGAATGGTTCATACCCCTCCTTTTCTTCCCAGGGCACTGAAAATTTTACGTCATATTGTAGCCAGACTTTAGTGTATTCTGCACTGGTTAACTCTCAGACTGACATGTTCATTTTCAGGCTTGTCAACTTAAAAGGGATGCATACTGTAGATTTCAGAAGAGTGCAATAAAATGGTGAATTTTGAAAAAAAAAACCAACAACACAACCAAAGAAAACCAAACAACCCAAACCAAAACTGCATGGAGGAAGAAAATTGAAGAGAAGAAGTGATTTTTGCGTACAAATAAATAAGCAATTTCTATTAAAAAAGAAAGGAATTAAATACTGATATTACTAAGGATAGTACCAAAACTACTAGCTTACAGTGAATCAGGAAGAATGTGATTTTGCTACTAGAATATGTATGCAATTAGAATAAGTTGTTGATGGAGCATTTGGAAATATTCTTAGGGAATATGCTCTGTGCTAAGTTTAACATACATCAGGAATAATTTAGGAGTTATTGAATTGTCTTAATACAGTACAGAATTACAAGAACTCTTGCAAAATTAAATATTCCATGATTCTCTGAATATAATGGTGATGTCACGTATTATCTTTAGTGTTTTCTGGCAGATACTAGTTATATTAGTACCAAAAGACAAAAATACTTTCTTCTGCTCACTGTATCTTGTGGAAAAACTGTCTTTGGTATTTTTATGGTACATTCTATAATATAGCTTAGCACTTTCTGTGCTGAATTGTAGTAACTAAAAAGCACTGTTTCTATAGTAAATAATGGCAACCACAGATAAATCAAATCTGACATGTAGTGTGCCACTGGGCTGCTGCTGACGGTGAAAAAAAAAATTGTCAGCATTTAGAACAGAAAATCAAATGCACATAAAAGTATCTTATGTGCCACAGAACATTGATGACAAAATCCAGGACTTGATTCAAAAGAAAATCCTTCTTAATCGTATGTTTAATGTAAAGCACATGTTGATTAAGGTCAGTGCTTAAACTTAAGCCTATGCTTGAGGATAGTCCTAAACAGAGAGGAATTTTATCTGGTGCTTACATGAACTGAGACTTGGATACTTACTCTTAAGAATTTAAATGCTTTTTATTTCAAGAGGATCAGCTAAGTCCAGGTAGAATATAAATCGCAGAGCACCAGAGTAATATCATTTCAGTGACTGTTATGATGTGTCAACATTTGTATCAGGTACTCCACTTGCCATATGAAAATATTTACCAAGACATGTTCTAAACATAAAAAAAATACCTTTTAAGTATGTATGTTCCAATCCTGAAATGAAGTTAATAGAAGTGGCAATATGTGTCAGTCAGAAATCTGGTCAATAAGCTTTTTTCAAAAAAGAGTGACGGTCTGTTTAAATTGTTGATATAGAATTCAATGCTATGTTCAAATTTGAAAAGTGTCAGTTTTGTAGTCAAGTACAAAGAACAAACCTCTTCCCCCTTTTCATGGAGTAGGTAACACTGTTTGTCATGTCCACTAGATTACGGTCAGTGCAGTCTCCACCACTGTCAAACTTTGGCTTGGCTGGGAATCACTATTTCTTGAACTGTTTTAAATGAATAGGAAATGAATAGGAAAGGACAATATATTTGGTTACGTTTTTTTTACAAAAGATAGCTTTTTGGCATAATCATCTTTGTTCCAGAAGTAAAGATGTATTCTCAAGCGAAGAAAAGTTTTTAATGGTCTGTGGGGGTTATTTATTTAGCTAAAAGTAAGTCTGTTTCCAGAAAAAGATTCAGTGCAACAATTACACTTTTGAATTTTGGCCTACTTTATTTATTCACAGCCTGTAGATCCAATGCTCACATTTTTTTTTTTTGGTTTTGTTTCATCTGAAAACTGGGTAATTGTACCCGTCAAGTCTAAATGCTGTTGGTTTATTTTAGAAACAATATTTATATTTTGGGGTTTTCAGATCCCAGAAAGAACATTTCAGTCCTACTTAATTCCATATCTTTACTGGGACAAATGCTGCCTTGGTGAACTTACACGTGCACGTGTGGGAGCTTTTCCTTCCCTACCTTGTCACGTGCCAGAAATGGCCAGATAGAATGTGCTCTCATTCTGGTGGTGGCCTTCAGGAGGCCTTCAGACATATACATAAGCACATAAACAGTGGCCACCAGATCCAACTGACTCACTGAGTTGCCTCAAGAGTTGCCCTTTTTTATCTTTTTTTAAAGTACAAAAGTAAGTATGTTCCATCTTTTTTCAACTATTTGATATCATACAGAGTTAACAAAACCACACTGTGTAAAATGTAACATAGGCATCTGGACCACAAGCTATTTTGTGTTCTACAGAGTATGTAGATCTGAAGCACAAAATCTCTTCATTAAAGTCTTGAAAGAAAAGAAAAAAGTTTCCCTTAAACTAATTCATGAGGGACAGATATGTGAGAAAAATATTATTTTCGTATTTGTGTACCAAAGTTTATCAGACTGATTAAGATAATCTCTTTTTATAATGCCATTAATGGAATTTTCATAAAATATTATTAGTAATGCTTTAAAAAAACTTAAGTAATAGATCATTTTAAAAAACCCTGACTTTATGGATTGAAAAAGATACTGAATTGAAACCTGCAATGACTGGAATGCTTTTTTATCCACAGAACATGGGTGGCAGCAGAGTAATCCCCATCCTACATCCCCCAGCCCCAGCCCCAGCCGTGTGTCTCACCCTTTACCTGGATGCACCGCTACAAAGGGTGAGGGAGCTATGGTAGTTTACTCTGCATTCCCATTCACTTGTTGACCTCTTTTGAAAAATATAGTTGCTGATAACTGAACTAGAGCTCCAGGTTAACTGAAACAGACAGGTTATTATATATAGAATACCTTCTACCACTGCTTAAATCCTGGACTCTGTTCAATTGGACTGAGTTAAAACAAGAATGCTGAATTTGTAGTCTGTTAGTTGTCACTGGAATTATCCTGTCTCTTGTCAAAACTAGCGGGACTTAGTGAAGGGCAATAATTCATCTGCTACAGTTAACATATAGACTGTAAAGCAAGCTGTAAAAATACAAAGAGAGTTAAAATTAATAATGCAAATTTAAAGCCAACATTGCCATAATGTATGTGAGGTAATTAATGCCTTTTAAAATTATTGTTCACTACAAGTGAAAGGCATTCACTGCAAAGCCTGAATAGCTGGGCTATTTCTGAGTGGAATGCAGGAGATTACAGCCTCCCATAATCTCTGTATCAGTTGCAGTGTTGTGTGGGGACCACCTAATCTGCATAAATTTGGCATGGGGAGGCACACATTTTTTACAGGGGACCCACAAGAAAAAACACAATGCACTGAGTGCTTGCGTAGAAGCCCATATCTGAAAGCCCATATGAAGACAAATATTACTTGGATATTGTGCTAATTTACAGAATTTGGATCTGAAGTAGCAAGATGACAGGTTACGTACTGGCTTTTCCCCATTCTCCTGTTGCATAGCTTTGATTTAAAAGAGAGGTTTTTAGGTTCAAGTGTCGTCTTCTAAGCGAAGGGGGAACAGCAGTATTTCTGTAAGAGCAGCAGCATGCCTGGCATTTTATGTTCTTTGGGGATTTTATTATCTAGGGGTTCGTATGGATCTTTAGACTGTTGGCACTTAGGGGAACTCAGCACTCATTCTGTTATAGCAGATATAATGCTGTGGGAGTTTATGGAGCTCTTAAATATAGTGTAGAGAGAAAGTGGCAATAGTTATAAAAGGTATAGCATGTGTTGTCTTTTGCTGCTTTGGTTGCCAGCTGTGGAGGGAAGCAGTGGGCCTTCTCTCCATCCTAGTTAGATTAGCTAGCAATACTAAGCAGGAGAAAATTTTGATTCAGAGTTTGAAGGTCTTCCAAGTACAGGCAATCCCTACTAGAGTTTGCCAAAAGAGGAAATGTATATGACTGTATTCACGGCTGTAAAGCAGTAGTCTGACATCAAGTTTGGAGGCAATAGGATGATTCACAACAGGATGAAAGGAAGATTTATTAAAGAGACTAGGGCTTTACAGTATTTTCTGTTCATTTCTGATTTATAAGCTAGGAATAATCATTGCATACTTTATTTTCTCTTTTCTGTTTCTTATGCTAGTGTTTTTAATTTATTTTTCTGTTCATCTACAACTGATGTCTTTACATGTCTTTTCTCATCAGTCTATACAGAACTTGCTCACTATGAATGGGAGGCTTACTAATATGTACTGAGGAACAAATGAATCTTAATGTATTTTTTGCTGGGTTTTATTTCCATTTTAATTTCAACTCCATATAAATTTTATGCATCAAGTGCTCTTACTATAACACTCAAAATCTTTGCTAAGGTCTTTGGGGAAGGATCAATAGTCAGTACAGCACAAATCGTGCACCCTAAGAATTTTAACTGGAATACTTGGGATTCTTTAATCATCTTGTTCACCTCAAACACTATTAGAATATATGTACAAATAATATAGTTACATTAACAGAATTAAGAAACTGTTTATTATTAAAACCCTCTTTCTGACTAGTACCTGTGCTTATGCAGACTTGAAGCTTCCCTATGCACTAGTTTGAGAGTTCGGAACAGACGGTAAAGTAGGGATGAAAGAGAGAGCTGTGATCTCAGAGGAGATATTAGGCACCAGAAATTATGGTGTTCTTGTTCCAGCTCTTACACTGACTCTGATACTTCCATTTCTATAGCACTTGCCATCTCTGGATCTCAAAGTGGATTATAAAGAATAGTGATTTAAACCTTCCTGCACCTCTAGGAGATAGGTAAGCAATATTATTCCCATTTTACAGATGGAGAAATTGTGATACAGAGAGGCTTAGTGTTTCTTATTAAAGTTTATTTATGAACACACATGCATGCACACACACACAGCCAGAAAGAGATGTCAGAAATTTCATTACTCTCTGTTTTAAGCTAAGTCCATCCTCCTTTCCATTTAACCTCTCTGATTTATATTCCCCATCTGTAAAAAGACGGAAACTGGTATAGACATGGAGAGATTTGCTTGCACATAAATTTCTGTGCAAATACAGAAAAAAAAAACAACCATGAAGGACAAAAGTTGCCTTTGAAATCCAATGCATTTTATGTGTTGGCAGAGGATATTTTAGGATTTGGGACAAGGATTTTTGTAGGTGGAGAGAGATACAGGTGTTCTGCACCCTAATGTGTAATAGTTAGTTACTGCTATAAAATGCCCCGATTGTTTTGTAATGTAAGCATATTAACTGAAGTTTAAAAATTTTAAAACGCACTAATTTACATGTCAAAAGGCTAGAAAACAGCCAGTAACTCAATCTCTGTATTATCTGAAAGAATACTTACTGTAAACAGATTTTGCTGTGCACCTCAAGTGCCACATCAACACCACCAGTGTACTGTGTCAGACAGGGAGTAGGAGGACAGTAGTGCTGCATGAAAACAGAAATTGCCCCGGCTGCATATCTGTATAGTTTTCTCCCATTAAAGTTTTACCGCATCTTACTGCAGCATGAGTTTTTCAATGGCAGACAGCAGTCTAGACCACTGTACTTACATATTTACAAGAAAACTGAAATTATTAAGTGAACTTTTGGAAAAAAATTTTGAAGATCAAATATGTCTTGTTATTGCTATTACTATTATTGGGCTGATTGTTTCTTGTAATATTTTAAAAGATATTTTAAAAGATGTCTAGAAACTTGATTGGTCTGATCATATACTGCATCAAAACATCATGAAGATTCTGATCTCATTAATTTTAACTACAATGTTAAAAAATTATTTTGCGGAAGCTTTTAAAAATCCTTTCTAATTCTGCTACTAATTTGCTACAGAACTGAAACATCCAAAACATAATATATTAGATGTTTTAAATTTAATGTTATTAAAATGTCTGTCAATTGTCTGTATGTTGAACAGATAGCTTCTACATAAATGTTTCTCACATTTTTCTGCATGCATCCTATGGAATAGGCAGGCTAGATTAGACGAACATACAACACCCATGTTAACATTTTCCTGTAAGTAATCTAACTTACCTGTGATACAGTAGATACATTTAATATGTTTACTAGAAAATATATACAGTGAATAACTATGGCTAATGTATACATTTATGTTAAATGGAACGGAGACTGGATGTGTTTGTGTGTCAGCATGCAAGCATTGACATGTATAGATGGATGGCTCAATCCAAAAACTCATTCTAAAGTTAAGATTCCTTTTTGGTTTAGTTGTAATACTTCATGCACAGAAAAATACGGAACTTCAGGTAGGGATTTAGTTGATTTGGAGCTAAGGTAAAACCTGATTTTATCATTACATGCTTTACTAAAGAACCATGATGATGATGATGATGATGATGATGTTAATACTTCAGCAAGTGAGTTAGTTCCTTGTCTCAACTTCATGTGTGGCTGAGATCAGAATTTAACCCAGGGTCTTCCTGAAGGCTAGTACAAATCATTTGTTACCTTTGCTCCCAATTACAGTAAAAATAGACAGTGTCTTGAGGTAATATAGCTACCACAGCTGGTGGATTAGGATATGGGTTTACTAATGCATTGACCTTCTTCATTTGTGTAACACGAGTTAATTTACAGCCTGACAGTAAATGCTGAAATTTTGAATTGTAGCACTAATGCACCATTTTTTCATCTCTGTCAAACCAGACTAAAGGGTCATTTGGTGATGAGGATAATGGTTCACTTTGAAAGAGAATGAAAACTGGCTTCTGAATCTTTGGGGGATTCTAGATCTTGCTTCAAATGACAAGCTGAACTACTAAAAAATAGGCTTGGAAATTCCAATAATATTGAACCTGCAAGTCTGACTATTTGCCTTGTTCTTATACTGATTCTGTATAGGCACATTGGAATACTTGCCATGACATGTTAGGCAGAATAATAAAACAGCATGAGAAGTTTGGTTTTCAGGCTATCAAGCCTCAAAAAGACTTTTCTCTGAAAAGTGAATCAGCATTAAACTGTTTGCTACAGTGGGGATTTTAAGCGACAGTTTGTGACAAGTTTTGATTGTTTCTCTACACTCTAAGAAATACTAAACCTAAAAACGGTTGGAGACTGATTTTTCTTTTTTTTTTTTTCTCTCAGAAGTGTCTTTCTTTCTTTCCTGCAGCACGGAAAAGGATATGCTAGTCACTTCTACAGGACTTACCTGAAGCAGCATGATTTGCACAAAAGTCGACCAACAAAAAGCATCAACTTTCAACTTCATTATCTTGGCCATCCAGTTCTGTGTAACTGAAGGATTTGTGTGCTGTTGGAGACATCATGGCCAACAATAGGACCTAATTGCTCTCAGCAGGCCTGAGAAATGAGTTGAAATGTGTAGAACTGTAGAAACTTCAGAGGCAACTGATCTTGCCTCTCTGATCAGTGTGTGCCTGTTTACAGCACTATATATCTTTCTCTCTCCAAAATGTCACTGAGCCCTTTAGATGTTTATATTCACCACAAGAAGCCAATCGTACAGATAAAAGAAATGTGCATTATAAATGCAATATCACTGTTTTAAACTTGACTGTTTTATATTATTTTTGTGTGATCAAGTGTTCCCCAAACTATTCCAACTTTACAAGAGAGATTGTGATCATGTTCTTTTCACCCGTGGGTCATAAAAATGTTGTTAACTGAGGACCCACAAAATTATCAGAGACATTCTGTGGTTTATACACCGTGTTGCAAAGTGTTTACTGTACTATTTCAAAGCTTCTAAATAAATATAAAATATATATATATTATATTATATATAATTTTCCGAAAAACGTGGTACAACTTAGTTGATTTTTAAATGGATTCATACAGTCTACACCATACACTAAAGTGAGAAGGTAATTCAGGGTTCCTAAGCTATCCTTGCTAAAAACAAAAATAAAATAAACCTTTAATAGTACTTCCCCAATATTCGTATTTTGGTCAATCCTGTTTTTCTTGTTTAAAAAAAAAAAAAAAAAAAGCTGAAAAAAAAGCTGTAAGCAACAACATTTTGTCTAAAAGTTGTAATGAATTTTCAATGCCAAAGATGCAGCTGTCAATATTACCAGAATGAGCGCTATGTACTATCAGAGGTATAAATCACTCTCCATTATTTTGATTATATTTCTATGGTTTTTAATTTGGAATCACAAAATGTTTTATAAGGCTCTATAAACTCACCTGTATATGTTGTTAAAAAGAACACTGGGTGTCTGTACATTTTGCAATGTAAGATATAATGTAAGTGAAGTTAAGTATTTTAAGAAAATCATCCCAAACTCATGAGTATGCATAAATACATATATACATACATACACACACACAATCACCCACACATCTCTCTCTGACATAGTTTTGTGAAACTATACAAATATATTGCCTAAAAATATTTCTCTTGTGGCTAGGAATAGTTGTTGATAGAATTCAAATTGCAAAGGCAAAAATATATGCCAAAATATTGACTCTTTTATCACAAAGGAGATGTGAAATTAGGAACATGGCACATTCTCAGCTGGCCCCTCTCCCATTGGAGATAAAATGGGGTTGGATACCATCTTTGTTGGGAAAAGGATTAAGCCCTCACGTATAATCTTTATGTTCTGTAATAATTCTGTGGTCTGAAATGATAACTTAGAGCACTTCTTTTCTATGAAATATCGAAGAAGGTAAAATTTCAAAGGTAAAGTTTAAAATTCCTTTCATGTCCATAGAGTTTAAGTACCATTTACTAAATGTAAAGATCTAGTAAAATGTTTTTTTCTTTTTTTTTTTGTATTGTGTTTTTTTCCCCACTGTATCTTAATATGTCAAATATTGAAAACAGATGAAAGAACTCTGTGTTATCAACTAATGTCTAGCCAAATTTGAACAAATTCCCAGCGATGATTCAATATTAAGTAAGACAAGAGAAAACCTCTCAGATGGCAATGCAATTTGGGTCATGCCGTTATATAGAAATTCTGATAACCCCGCCAATACTGCCACAGGATGAATGTGTGAGAAGCTGAATTTAGCCGCTTCTATGTCGTAATAGAGTTTGGGTTTCTTCCTTTTGATATTTTGTTGTTGGTTATAATGACAGTTTCTATTAGATAGAAGCATATAAATTATCTGTATGGAAACCATCCTGCTATGGATCCAAGTAAAACTCCTGATCAACTTGTGAGAGCTTTTTATACAAATAGCTACTGGACTGAACCCTGAAATTGTTAATTTAATACTCTGAACAAAAAAAAAAAATCTGCTTGTTAAACACTTCTAATGTGTATGTCTAGCACATTTGTATAACTACAAAATATTTTGTGGGATCCCTTTAAAATGTATATATTATAAAAAACACAATCAAAAAAAAAGCACCAACAATCGCTATTGATCTGAGCAAACACAACAGTGAAATGTTTCTTTAGCTGTAGGTAGCAGGACTTTTGGTCACCTACAAGCTTTGTTAATTTTATGAAGAAAAGCAATGAAATTTGTGACAAATACTTCATTTAAAAGAGTTTGTTAAATTATTTTCTGTTTTTAAAGCAAGAGAGTCCTTACCCTTCTTAGAACTGTTTTTTATTTCTAAGTATCTCTTTAATATTAGACATGTACTGTAAATCAAGGATTTTTTCAGTCTTTGGAGGAAAATGAAATGTTTTTCCTTTCTATTTCATGGATAGTTGAAGTGGTTTTATTTAATGAAAATGACTTCACATTTTGCGTGCCATTTTTTCTGAAAAACTTAACCGTATCATACCTTGTCCTTCCTTTCCATAATTGAACTCTTTCCATGGGTATGTGATACACATACCCTTTTTTTTTTTTTTTTTTTTTTTTTTTTTTTTTGTTAAATGATGTAGACCCTGGTTCGTGTATGCACAGAAATCCTTCTGAGTTCATTGGAGAGTCCCGGAAGGAATCATGATAGGATGCAGAACTGTTGAGGAAAAGGAAGTTTTTAAGTACTACAGCCTGGGCTCCCAAGATATTTAAAACTTGCTGATTTCTCTAGCTCACTGTGAATTTTAGTATGGTAACATTTGATGACAGCAAGCTTTAGGACACATTAAAAACCAGTACATAGCTGCTGTGTCCCAAGAGAAGTGCTGAGAAACATACTGGGTGGTACAGAGGCTCAATTTCTCCCGTTTCTTTGTTTTAGTGGGGAAGATACCTGTTGCATCCAGTCAACTCCCATTGAAATTGAATTGTTCAGCATCTCCCATATATTTCATCATGCTACTGTGTTGCCTATCTGCAGTGATAGGTACGTAAATGCCTTTAAACATTAGCTATTGTATTTGCCTCTTCCTTTAAGCATATGTGATGCAAATGTCTAAGGACTCTGAATTGCATATTGGACACAAAAGTAAACTGAAGTAGTTGGAAAATATTTAGATTGGATATTAAGGGGAAATATCTATACCCATAACCTGGGAAAAGAAAATTCTGAAATCTCATTCATTAAAAGTTTTCAAAAATATTTCAAAAAAATACCTGTCAGGGATGATATAAGTGTACTTAAACTTGCCTCAGAGAAAAGCATGGACTAGCCTTTCAGTCCTGTTGTTCTATAATGTTCCTCGTAGGGCATGCTAAGCTTTAGAGGATGTCACCTGTACACAGCTGTAGGGATAAGAATGTTCTGTCCTTCAATTAGGTATCAGAAGCAATATTTAGTGTTTAAATTTACAATTTATGAGCATAAGAGGACAAGCTGTCTGTGTGAAGAACTGCCTTTGGAGTAAATTAGAGTTCCAACACAGAAGAAAGGATCTTATAAAGGGTAGCAAAATGGAATCAGATCTGTAAATATTTTTTTTTTTAATTTCCTGGTTTAGATGTGTAGCAATAGATTTCTAAGCAGCTTGCCTATTTAATTTCTTCAAAACCAGACCTTAGTTTCTTCCAGACAGATTCTTCCAAAACTTAGAAATACTAAAACATTTTACTACTTGAAATAAAATTCCAGTTTCTTAATGCAAGTTTTTACTAAGCTGCCTATTGAGAGAAAGAAGAAAAAAAAAAAGAAGAGGTGTTTCCATTAATATATTCTCAGCTGATTTGAATGAGGTGTAGTAATTCTTCATCAGTATTGTTGCAAAATTAAGTGGAATGACAATGCGTGGATAAATACAATTTGTAAAGATTATGCTTCCTGCATTATAGTTACTATATATGTGTGGGGGGATATATGTGTGTATGTGTATATAATGATAGTGCAAAATCTGGTAAATTGCCACTGGATTTTTTCTTACAGGAGTACGCTCCTATCAGTAAATGCAAAGAGAAGGGTAGAAACACATTTATGATACTACAAAGTTAGACTTGATCCTTAGTGTAGAATGGAGCTTTGCATTCAAGATTTGAATTCAGCCCCTTCTTTGTGCATTATAGCCACAACCAAGCACACATTTCAGTATTTGACTTCAAGATTTTACCTGCTCATAGTAGGCTTTTTTCCCCCCCTTTTTTTTAAGTACTGTCATTCCTCAGGGTAAAGGGTGGATAAATAGATAGTCTTCCTAGGCTGATAAATTTTCATTGCAATTTTGCAAGGTGGTTAAATATTTGTATGTCTTATATGGAGAAAGCTGATCGTATCTTGCCATTGTTCCATGTTCAAGTCTCGAGTTTTATGGCATTTGGACTTTTGAATTAAAATCTATACAGAGGCATAAGGGCCAAAATAAGCATCTCTGATACACATTTAGTTATTGCAATTTGATTGCAAAACATTGGCATCAGACGTCTATAAAGAATAGAAAGTTGTTTATACTATTTGCAGTAATGTAAAAGACAGCCACTATGACTTTATTATAATATTATGCTATGAGAAATTCTGAAACTGTGAGTTAGATCCATTGCACTGATCCCTACAATCAGAGCTCAAATTCTTCTTAAAGAGCTCCTTCATTTTATTTTGTCTCTAATCTGCTAATCTGTCTTGGTATGAAATGGATACATATATATAAACAAATACACACATCCATTAAAATCCATTGTTGAGCATCTGTGTTTTTGTAGATATCCTCATATGTAAGAAATGAGCAAGAACTAACTTGGACAGCTTTCTTGAATTGAAATTGTTTTTGAATTTGTTAATAAAGTTCATGATATTGACAGACATCAGGAACAATGAAATCTATGTGGGTGTAGTTCTGCAGAAGGCAAATGCTTCATTTAGGAATCATCCCATCAAAAATGTATAAATGTGAGTGCTGGAAATCTTGCTGAGTCAAGATGAAACATACTGTGCTAAAGCTTTCTTGTTCGCTGTGTCAGCACTGATTAAAGCATCCTCTGGATGTTAACCACTGGAGTCAAACAGAAGGTATTAAAAAATGGCAAACAGTATTCAGATAACATTTACCATTCTTACTGAAGAAAGTATATAGGTGAATATATACTGAAATATTAACGTCTATTATACAATATGGAAAATTGAGTAAAGACAAACAATTAATGAAACAGTATGCTTCCAAATACATGCATTTCAAACACCTAAGTTTATCTGATGCTCAATTTAAAAGTATATTTTGGATAACTCCTCTCTGAGTCACACTAGTGATGAAGAGTACTGTATTTTATTAAAAAGCCTTATGACAACATGATAAAGAGAATATCACCACACCAACTTTAAGTTTTAGAAGTCATAGATCCAAACATTCAGGTTGCAAAACTGAACTGTATATGCATCAGAGCCTAATTCCATTAAAGGCAATGGCCCAAGCCACAGTGATTTGAAGGAGAGTAAAAGTAAGTTTTAATTTCTTTCTTTATGCACATGCATTTTTTAAGGAAGAGCAGCCTACAATAAAATTATTTGACACCAGAAAAAGGGAAACTTCACTAGCTCTGCTTCTAACAAACTGTGCAATCAAGCCTGGAAATTTGTACATGGCTATGTGCCAGTTTAAAACAGACATGTTCTAATAATTTTATCTCAAAGCAAAATATCGCAAGAAGTTAAGTGATTTTTGAACAACACAAAGACAGAAATGCAGTATCTATCTAAAAAGGTAGATTAATCTCTTTTCAATGCAGAAGGGCAGACAATTAAAAATTCATTGAAGCAGAGTATTCTTACACTGCCAGAACTATTGGTTGAAAATGTAAGCAAAGCAAGCAAAGAAAATATCAACCTCAACAATGAATGTTTCAGAAAGTTTTTCTTTGGAAGGTAACAAACAGATCCTAAACACATTATCTCCTTTCAGACCTAGACTGAAAGATGTTGCCCATCACCTTTTCTGGTCTTATACTTGGAGTATAAAAGCAGTCCTCTGAAAGGCTTGCATGTTCCCCTCGCTGTAAGGAGAATATTCCCATTTGATGAGAATGAAAGAGAAAAAAGACCTAGATGAAATCTGATGTCAAAATTACCTAGTAATTCCATCTCCATCTCCATCACTACAGCTTTTCTAGACAGGTATTGGAATAATTTAGGGCAGAAACTTTATGGGATGCTGACAGAAGAGCAGTGGTGTGGCACTGTTTCTCTGTGAAGAAGAAAAGAGAGGAGAGAGAGAGAATGTTCTCTGCTTTTCATAGTCTCACAGATTATGTTAATTGGTATTTAAATAGTGCTTTTTTCAGGAACATAAATATCACAAAAGAGAAAAAATTCACAGTGAGAGCAATATATTTGTTGTGGATTATGCTATATGAAAAAAAAAAAAAAGTCATGAATTCAAGCAAACATTCTCCTGCTCAAGCAGGAGATGAAGATGAGGCGAAATGATGCCCTTGGAGCTCACGGCCATTCAATCTTTGTGAGAGGCTTGGTTTGATTTATGTTCTGTCAACAAAGAGAAGAGAAACAGAGTACTCAAAGTAAAAGGTAGTTAATATAATCCAGGGAGAAAATGCACTATACCTTGTAATGATATCATTAAACCTCACTTAGCTTCTGGAATCAATCTGTTAAACAAACTAACAAACAAAACCCCCCAAATAAAAAGCAAATCTGCTCCTTGACACTCCAAGTACACATTTAAATTAATCAATCATAGCTGAGTTGAAAAATAATGGCATGTGAAGTGTCATATTCTGTCTTACACCTATTTCCAGGGGACAGTGGGGGACAACCCTGGCATCTGGCATCTCCCTGGAGCCAGGGATGGGCTGAAGCCAAGATGCGCTGTTGGCCCACAGGTGGGGGTCAGGTCGGGATCAGGCCCAGCACAGGGAACCAGGGTCAGACACAGCCCTGGGACAGCTGGGCTGGGGGTGGGCCCTGGCCACAGCCACCACACAACACGTCAAGGAGCCTCTCCCCACAGCCCCCAGTAGGATGGGACCACCCTTGGCTGCACTGGTGCTGAGCCCTGAGCCCCCAGAAGCAAACCCCCAGGAAGCTTTCTCACCCTATTGTGAAAACTCAACAATTTACAAACTTCCTTCCCAGATACATTATCATATTCTGCTTCAAATACTACTTTTTAATGGATGTGTTACTTCATTGTGCTTTTCACCATTTATGTCAGCTGGTTTTTGGGGGTTCCTGGCATTATCGATAGTTTAGTAACAGACCTACCGGCCTAACTTTTCAATTCTACCTTTATAGTTATAGGTGGAGTTCAATTAGCACTTATCATATAGAAACTAATATTAAGGTTTCTGGGTTTAATTTTGCGACTTTTAATTCCTGTTGTCTCCTCTTGTGTGACAACACAGGAATTAATTTCATTTTTTATTAGTGAAATAAATTTTTGTTTTATTAGTAAATCTTATCCAACAAGTACCGCTTACCCAGAAAAAAATCCAGGCAGAAGCAGGTAGTTTAGCTTTTTTCTTTTTTATATAAATAATTTCCAGACCTTCACTGTTCAGGGATAAGGACATTAAAAGGAGTAATAGAAAATATTTAAAGTCTGAAAAGTGTTTTACTGGACTGGGGAAATTTCTTCCCTGTTCCCATTCTATCTAAACTGGAAACTACTGTTTGCGTGCAAACTGGTCAAGTGTTAATTAGTCATTTGAGGAGAGAAATCTACAACTTCACTGAACACATTGTTAATACGCACAGATCTAAAGCTTCAGGAAAAAAAACAAAACCAAAAATATCATCCAAAAAATTACCCTGAGAACTGGAAAATCTGTGCATAGCTGGAAATTGAAAAAAACCCACATTTATTTCAAAATTAGATTTCTATTAACTGCTGTTCTGTGCATTTTATATCCATTATTAGTAAGCAAAATATACTCCAGTGTTAAACAGATGCTTGTATCACTATCCTTATTTTACTGACGCGTAACTGAGAAATTTCATAATGCATTCTATTGCAGAGGTGGAAATAGAACCTTTTTCCTAAATCAAAATAATAAGAAAAAAATCACTACAACAACAGTGTTTATAATATAAAATAATGTAAAACCACATGGGTGCTACAATACCGAGATCTCCCCACATGCAGGTTAATGAGCTAACTAGTAATCTAGAGAATAATATATAATTTGGTGCCCTTGGTCCCTCTGTCAAAAGAATGTATAATTATTTTTTGCTAAATGGGACAGCTTCAAAGAGAAAAAATGGAGAGCTCTTCATCTTTCCACTCAGAGCCTAAATCCTTTTGGATTTGATGATTAGGAGGGTTGGGTAAAAAAAATTGGGTCTAGACCCCATCATATAAATGAGGCATTTGTCCTCAGTGGCCCATACCATGGGCAAATACTACAACCAGTATGATATAAAAAGGGCCTCTATCAGCATTTCTTTCTCTGGTAGTTTTCTGTTCAATGTATTTCTTCCCAGAATACTTAAAAATACTATCCTATTTTGTTAAGATGTTTGTTAAGATGTTAAAAACTAAGTACCTAAGATTTCCAGAGCAGATGGTGTGAGTTTTGAAATATTTTTTCAGGATGTGAGAAATCTGTATTCAGTTCTCTTCATCTCAGATAATTTCTGCATCCATATCCGGCTTAGAAGTTTCTAAACAGCAAGTTGGAGGGTTATCCCCTGTTTTGCTGTTCTACAAAAGCATTTAAACATCTCTTGGTGCAGGAACTAGG